ATTCAATGTTAATTAAACCATTTGATTCAATATTAAATTATTAATTAACCATAATATTAATTAATAATACCTTGATTGCTTGTCTTCCTAGTCATCTCTCTGGGAGGCCTTCTGCTTCTACTGTGGTTATTTTAACAAAAAAGAATTATTAACTTTTGTGTCTGGAGAAAGTTGATTCTCAAAATACTGTGGTTTATATTTAAATTGACAGATTTTATGCTTTCCCCCCCCCATCTTTCTTCATTGAGAAGACTTACACTTTTGAAGGGTGTCTTTCCAAAATCATCTACATTCTGCTGTTTTCAATTTGGGGTTGGGGTTTTTTAGCTTAAAAGAGAGTTGATTTTTATATTTTAAGAAAAAAAAATTATGAGTTATATGTGATTATTCTGAGTCTCTCATACACTTTGTCTCCAGCCTGCCTCCATGCTGTTTGCATTATATCTTTTTAGATGTTCTTTTCATTTTTCTTTTAGCTAACTTCCTCATTTTAAGCTGCTCGCTGCTCACTCTCTCAAGCTTAAATATTACTGCAGTGGATTTTTTTTTTATCCTTTTCCTTCTCAAAAACATGTTGACTTTCAGTCCAGAAGTGGTTCTCTGATAACTACTTCTTGACTTGGGTCCTATGTACCTACTCCAGAACTAAATCAGCTTCTCTTCTTGTGGGTTGTCTGATTACTTGCTACAAGCAGCATCATTTATGGTATGTAAAGCTTCATGTCTTTTGTCACTTTCTGATTTAAGGCCTTATGTGTTGGAGCATATGCACTTTTGCAGTATTGTGTAAACTCTCTGCACAGCCAATGTAATTTTCCTTACTCTGTTGCCTTTATGTCACCATCTCCATCCTGTGGTCAGCAATGCAGCTCTAGCATTATACCATCCCTAGTCAGGTGTGAATTCTGTAAATAGTTGCTGGAACATGTTGATAGAAGTAACTTATCTGGTTTGAGCCTAAACTTCCCTTCATATATTACTTCAATTCCCTGGGGACACTTTATATAATCCAGTAATACAGTGTCCCAGTAATACATCCTTTCTCCAATTTTAAAAGTCTGGTTTTTTCCATCTAAGGGAGTGAATGTATCTTAAATAAGATACAGTTAAAAATGGTTGTATAAATGAAACACTCAAATTATTTTTTTCTCTTTTTCACAAAATAAAAAGATCCTTTTTTTGAGATTCTCTGAACTTGGGAAATTTGCTCAGCTTCAACAAGAAGCATAATGTCCATTTCCAAATCTTTCCCAACTATAACTTCTGTTACTTTCATTGTTCTGTTTCTGCCATTTTTTGTGACCAATAAGACTTTATCATACCTTTTCAAGGTACAGCTCATGAAACACAAGCCATTCCAGATTATTCTGCAGTCAAAGCATAAACCTTAATATAAAACTGTTTTCTGTGTTCTTCTCATTTAAAGTCATCATGAGTTTTTCAGGAGAATGCAAAACATTTTTCCATGATTTACCTGTGAAAGATAGTGAATACTCTGTTGTTTACTGGCACTAACAAATGGAGTATTTCTGCATTTGTCTCCACCTAACATTTATTTTATATTTTCACTCTATTTTATTGACTATTTTGTGATTACATTCATTCCCTTTTGCTGCCACATTCTGTGGATAGTTTTTTCTGCAATGTGTTTTGACACACAAAGTGAACTTATTGAACTTCTCTATACTTGGTATTACAGGATAGCTTTTCTCCTCAGCAGCTGTATGTGTCTGACAGCACTAGCCCTTTTCTTCCTCCTCTTGTTTAGATCATCTTTGGCACTTCTGTTCAGATAGTGCTGTCTAAGACTGCACTGAGCTGCCATGCATCAAAGCCTGCTCGCTTTGTGTCAATCCCTTCACAACCAATAACCTGTACCAGAAGTGCCCGAACACTCTGGGAAAACCACCTCCCAGCTGTTACATGACTTTCCTAATTCATAGTTCAACATGAAACAAAAGTGACCAGGATGTGGGAAACTGGTGGTTCTTTTCAGTCAAGTCAGGCAGTCTCAGTCAGTTCACTGAATTTCTCCTGCAGTGGGTCCCTCTCCGATTGTACAGCTTCCATCACAGCAGCACAGCCTTAATCCCCCCCGATTGGGAAAAGACTTATGAGGCGTCCCTGTGGCACAGCTGTGACAGAAACATTTTCTGGCAAAAATTATGGCACTTACAGAACTGCACCGGTTACCCTCACCTTGGTTTGCAGTTTTCCCTGTAAATATTTGCTGACACAAAGCCATCTTGAAGTATCAGCATAAATGAAGTTGGCCAGAAAGTTGTGCTTTCTGTTCAGGAATCTAAGTAGCGTGGATCCCTCTAACTGAAAGGATCACACATCCTGCTGTCCTGTCAAAGCAGACTCAAAGTAGATAGTGTCCCATTTTCTAAGGGTCCCATTCTCCCAAATAACTGGAAAGAGCTTTCCAGTGCCTACTTCATAATTCAATTTGAAGGAGTGGGACACTTACGCTTAGGGTGTAAAATATTGCTCCTTGATGCTTTTGATAAATCTTTCAAAGAGAAAAAGGAAGATATGAATCAATATTAAGTTAAAAAACAGCAAAGTTTCTTATTGTTCCCATTTTATATTACATATTAATCTTAGCCCATGAAGTTTACAGAAGATATAAAGCCACAGGAACATGTCATACAAAACTTGTATAGGGCTCGGGAGCCTAGTGGTGAGGGCAAAACTGCAGTGTATCAAGAGCATTCAGGTAGACAGGAATGTCAGGAAAAACTGCAAGTGATAAACTAACTTCCCTTCACTTAGGTATCCAGTGCAATAGCCAGCAAAACATTGCAGGTGTGTACTGAAAAACAATGCACTATAAATAATGTGCTGTGTTTTTTTTAAATAGGGCTTGAAAAATTATTTTTCAGCATTCTACCCTCTTGCATGACCCTGCTGAGTTGGTTGTTTGTGCTGGTTATGGTGGCATCTGTTGCTGGGAAATGAATTGCTTCCATACGTCACTGGCTTCAAACAACTCTATTTTTGCCATATACAGTGAAGAGGTGAAATGAAAGAGAGTTCTAGTCTTTAAGCAGCAGCAGCAGCATGGGAAGGCAAAGTTTCTGTTTTGAGATGCTCAAGGTGCTATAAGTGGTCTAAGTTTCGGGCTTTTCAAAGTTTCTGATATTCTATCAATAAATTACAATTACTTAAAAAAAAAAATCCTTTGATCTCACTGGGAGTTTCCCAGACAGAGTTTTCAATACTGGTTTGGACTCACTAAAATATAACAAAAAAAAGTCCAAATTTGAAAAGGTGTTACCCAATAAAGCAATAACTAAGTATTTCCTCTGTCCCGTTTATTTCTGGTAATATCACTGGAGAAAGGAGAGGTGAGGGATAACAAACTTCATCTAAGCAGTTCTTTTTCTGGGCATTGAAAGATTTTCAATCTTTACAGAGCAAACAACTGCAAAATTAACAGTAGCAGGAGTTCCAGGGCCCTTGAATGAAACCTGTGAAATTTCCTAAGAATTTTCTTTCACAGAGTGTGGTCCTTTGTTTGAAAACAGGTTTAGCAATACATGAAAAGTTTAGTCCTGTGATCATAATGATCACTCCCTTTGAGGGGTTACAAGATGCCAGGATCCTCTAGCTTCTCAGAGCTTTAAATTACTAGAGAATTCAAAACTTCTGATATTGATGCTGAGGATCTGATATTGCAGGCTCAGTGGCTCAGTGAAGGAGTTGCAGAGGGAAGAAGGACTCACTGTAGGAAGTGCTGTGATGCTGCAGCACAGATATTCTACCAAAAGACTGGGTGTGGCATTGACCTGCCTGCTCTGACTCTTTGCTATAAAAGGCTCTATATTTTGTTCTTGTTGAAGAGTTAAATATGTGGTGTGGAGTGTAATTATAAAGACATTTCTTTTGTCAGAAAAGCTCTCACACAGCTTTGATCAGCAATTAATACAGATTCATACCTGGACTGCATTATTTACTATCATATCCAGCCATGCCTTCATGGGAGACAGTCCTAATTCTGAGTCTCTGGGCTGTATTGATCTCACCTGGATAATACACTGAGCTCTTGGTGACACCATTTTCCTGAATGTGAGTGAGCTGTGAGCCCTGTCCCTCGCACCCTGTCATATGGCAGGTGCACATTTAAGTTGTGATAGAGAAGAGACAGACAAGCCCATGGGAAAGATGGTAGCCAAGACTGAATTGACAGAATAATTCCTTTATTCCACACACACTCCCTGCCCAGGAAGAGGTGCAGCCTGGCTACATTATTGTGCTGCTGGCAGACGCTCACATGGGCATTGACAATGAAGGTGCTGAGAGGGTCTGCAGGGTAGGAGACTGGAAGCAGCAGTGTGACCCTTCTCACAGAAATCCTGATCCTTTTACTTTGTGTTATGGATTTCACACTGACACAAACTATAGAAAAAATCAAAAACTGTCTCTCTTTGCTAGCATGTGATTTGCTTTTTTCTTCGTTCTCAATAGCCAGCTCCATGGTAGCTAAGAGCTAAAACAACCCATTTCTGGAAGCGGGGGAAACGAGAAAATTACAGGGCAGATTCAGAAGATCATATAAAAGGAAAACATCAGGGTTTTTTTCCTCTCAAGTAATGCATATATATTTAGATGCACTTACAGTGAACATGTAATATACTAAACCACCACCCTCAAGTCAAGTCAAAAATAATAAATAGTATTAGTGACATTTTACTGCAATGTTTGCCATTTTGGGGCCAGTAGCTACCCCTGAACTTTCTTTGCACGCTTTACTCACTGTCTCCTCATTCTAAAACTATTACCATTAATACCCATCCCAGTGATTTCAACTGGAAGATAATTTAGACTGAACATTGCTTTGGTTTAACAACTGAATATATGTGAATTCAATCACTTGGTTTTATTTGCTCTTTATGCCTGGCTGAATAGAGTTGTGCATCAAGGGACATAATGGGCCTGATCCTTTATCTCTATAACCTTTTCACATCACTTCCCTGCTGCTGCAAAGTACTCACAGATACAAGGCTGACTGGAAATGATCCATGTCACATAACGTAGCAGGTCCATCCAAAGGGCCGGCAGTGGTGGGATGACTGCAGTGTGTTGGTGTCCCCAGCAGCAGCGGCACAGGAGGAGATGCATGCTTAGGCCTTCGCCTGCCTCCACACTGACAGAGAGGGAGAGAGAGAGAATCACACCTCCTGTGCCTCATTACCTAAGGACTTGCACCAAATACAGCTCAGCTGAATGTAAGAGCTAGCCTCAATATGTAACTCCAGATCTCACAAAAACACTCGTTCTAAGAATAATTTTCCCATCATATGTGCGGTTTTCACAGTGTGTTAATAGATCCTGCTTCATGGCCCCACATAACCAACTCTTTTCCAGACAAACTCAGAGGTGTCATTCTCACTCTCTTTAGTAAGAAGGGCATAAAGTAGTGCACTATCAAGGCCAGACACCACACACAGGGATACCTGGTATTACAAAAATCAGTCTGGTTACAGAAGATCACACCAACTCAGAAATAAAAAACGGACAGAAATAGCTTTTGAAACAGAACCTGAAGACACCTTTGCAAGGTTAATCCAGAGCCCCTCAGACTAGCAGGCACCTTGTGTTCATTATTCTCTGCCCAGGAAGCGTTTATCACTATGAATTCATTGAAAATTTTGAAATACAGTAAAAATGAGGAGAGCAGACTTGCAGGAAAACCTCTCCCTTTGCTACAATCTGTTCAGGAGAGAAAGGAAAGGATATTTGTGTGTGTGTGTAGGA